TCTTAAAACAAACAAACATCTCGCCAAACAAATCGTACTCCCTAGAGAGTCGTGTCAATCACCCGTAGGAGATTCTTGGATCAACCGAAGGGGAAGATGAATTTCTCAATCACTACTCACAATTACAAGTAGGCAATTAAGTTATGCAAAAGTTGACGGATATTCTATTTCACGTGTTGGAACGGGACATACGAACGGCTCGTAAATTATGTAATTATGCATAAGCATGTATACATTTGAAAATAGTCATTAATTTTGATTTTTCTGAAGTCAGACGCAGCTAACCCCAAAAATACTCATGAACTCGTGATTGTTCGAGGGATGTTTGTCTCATGTCTATTCCTCGAAATGTCAGTGATGAATCTGTAAATATGCAAATAAATGACTCATAGATCAAAGGATTTTTGCACCTAAACAGTTGTGCACTAAAAATCCCAAATAAAATCGTCAAACCTTCATTTCACTTACCAACACTGGTTCTTCTCTGTAATAAACTACTGATCCATGTTGCCAGCAAGACTGAAAATGGCCGACATTGGTGTTACCAGTGATTAGTTGGACTGTATCATTTTTGGTATCTGGTCCGTTGGTAACAATGAACGGGCAGTTTTGACGGTAAATCAGGGTGTGTGTGTGTCATTTGGATTATCGCCTTATACTGTCATGATCATGTTTATTAGAAGCATGCCAGTGACTGAGTCAACATCAGTACAGAAAAGGGCTGATTTCCTGATAGAGTCCAGCTTTTACACGATTATGGGTCTCCGTGAGATTTCGGTGCTCAATGGTTTCGCTGATATGCGATGCGTTTATTGCTGCTCATCGGAACCCGAAGCCGGTAACAGGCATTTTCGACACAAAAGAAAGAAACGGAGGTAGTCTGCAGAATCAAGCTTTTATCTTGAGAAAATTCTTGCTGCTTCAAAAACGTCATTGTACTAATTGAGAATATTGGAGTACTATGCTTTATTTGACTTCCTTCTAATGCTTCAGAACCTGCATTATTTTTGAAGGGCTAATCTGTTATGAACTGAACGAGCGCGGTCACCCTGAGTGGTGTTCATGTCTCGTTGGGCCTCTTGTATTCTGCACGCGCATGTGGGATGAACATCAGGTGCGGTGGATCCCATACACACGAAGATATGCTTGTCAGTGATGAAAACAAGTAACATACGCTCAATATTGTACGCTGCATTGTGAAACGGCACATTCCGTCGTTAGATTCATTTCTGATGGCATACAATCGCTTTGAGGGTTGACGAAACATACTGACCAGGGTGGCATTAGCCCATGAATATAATCGAGCATATATCCGAAATAAGTTGGTTTAATCAATATGCAATCATCACATCCAAGACGGCGCGCGGATAGCTCAGGATTGATGCACTTAAAGAGTTGTTTGTTGCAAAACCCTCCAAAGCGCTCAGTGATGCATTTTTCGGAATCGCATGTGAATGATTCGATTCTGAAATGAAGTCAGAAACAGAAAAAAATGGAGCATGAATAGATTGGATTAGAAATGGACAAACACTTTCCACTGATCATGTTGAACGCATGCAGAGTTGAGGTGAAGAATGTGGAAATTCTTTTGTCCATATAGTTTAAAACTTGTCCTCTTTTCGAACTTGGTTCATTTCCACGGTGATAGATCTTTGCCACTGATTCCAAACTAAGGAGTTATGTGAGAAGTACTCGATTCTCGAGTGATCATTCAAAGATTCAAAGATTTATTATGGGAATAACTTACAAGCTCATGC